AGGCCTGTCTTAAACAGCAGGGCCCAGGGGCTGGGGCTGGAGCTGTCACCGAGGTGGAGCACTTGCCGACTCTCTGCTCTAGGCTTATGTCCCAGGGGTCGGGGGGGGGGGGGGGGGGGGGGGGGGGGGGGGCGTTCAGGGAATCAGGCTCTAACTGTCTGTCCCTGAGCTAGGATGAGCCACTGGCACAGCTGTAGCTGTCCATAGTCAACAGGACGGCATTTGAAAGACAAGAGGAAGTGATGACAAAGAACTGATAAGCAATTAAGTTTGTCTTGGGCAGATAAGGATCTAATCCCCATCCCACAAGTACATGGGTGGAGAACTGTGACCGGAGGGTGGTTGTAGAAGGTCCTGATTACATTTCCAGTTCTGGGGTGCCCATTCCCTTCCCCTTGGTTGGCTCACCCTCCCAACACTTCCAAACCTCACACCTCCCTCCCATCAGCCAGCTTATCCTTTTCCTGAATTTCAAAGCACCCCCACACCTGACCTCTTCACTCTCCCCTTTCTTTCAGGTTGACTTTAGAGACAGGGTTTTGGCATGTTAGTCCAAGCTGGCCTGGAACTCACCCAGGACCGGGCAGGTCCTCCCGCCCGCCTGCTTCCCGATTGCTGGAATCTCAGGTGTGGGCTATCAAATCTCCTGGCACTTTTGTTTGGTTTTGTCTGGTTAGCAACTAATCAAGGTTTATCTTAGAAAGCAAAGCTAAGTCCACCCTTCAGAAGGAGGGGCCTCGGGGCAACAAGTTTGCTTTGTGTTCTTTCTCTTCATTCTCAGCTTTTAAAGTGCTTCAGGAGGCTGAGATAGAGTACTAACCAGGCAGGCACAAGCCCTGGGGGCTATATATAGAAAAACAAAACTTTAAGAAGACTCTAACAGGGTAAGGAAGTCCATACCTGTAAACCAAGTACCTGGGAGGGAAAGACAATAGAAAATTCAAACTCTTTATCCAAAGGAAAAAAAAAAAAAAAAAGGAAGAAAACAAAAATAGAGAATATGTGAGGTGTATAAGAGACCCCAAATTTCATCCCCAGCACCATAAAAAAATCTTTCTAAAAATAAGCATTCAAGGGAGGCTGCAGTGATGGCTCAGTGGTCAAGAGCACTGGCTGTTCTTCCAGAGGACCTGGGTTTAATTCCCAGCACCCACATGGCAACTCACAACTGTCTGTAACTCCAGTTCCAGGGGATCTGGCACCTTCACCCAGATATACATGCAGATAAAACACTAATGCACATAAAATAAAATTAATTAATTGAAAAAAAAAAACCCATTCAGACTGGGTGGTGGTAGTCCATGCCTTTAATCCCAGCACTTGGGAGGCAGAGGCCAGCTTGTTCTACAGAGCAAGTTCTAGGACAGCCAGGGCTGTATTACACAAAGAGACCATGTCTTGGAAACACACACACACACACACACACACACACACACACAGCATCCTATTTCTTCACTTATCTCCCTGCAGCATCCTCTGCAGCAACCCAGGCACACTGGCCTTTATTCCTACCTCCCAGACACTTCCTTTCTGCTATTAAGGATGATCTAGACCTCTCCAGCACTCTTCAAACTCGTCAGCCTCTTCTGTCAACTTCCTCCACGCTGCCAGCCTCCTGACCTTCTTATCTTCTATCTTCTCCCTATTCCTTCCCTTAATCCAGGTGTTTCTGTCCCGGCCTTCTTTACTCAGTATCCAGATGTCTATCACGGGTGACTCCCCAAGTGGCATTGCCAGTCCTCAGCTGGCAAATTAGGGCCCACCCATCGTCTCAGCCTCCCCACTGGCCTCCCGCCATCCTAGCTTTCAGTCTAGATCCATGGTCTGGGTTAGGAGTAGAAGCCGGGGTGAGCATGAGTATGCTGACACAAGGTTTTTTTAATCCATTTATTTTCAAAGTGCAGAGGATGGAACCTGGGAACATAGGTGTGTTGGGCAAGTGCTCTACCGCTGAGCTACATCCCCACCCGGACGGGACTGCACACTGCCCAAAGCCATCAGTGGCCTGGACAAGAGCAGGGAAGAGAAAGACATTGGGACCACGGCGGCTTAAGCAGTGGTTCTCAACCTGTGGGTCAAGACCCCTCCGGGAGTCACATATCAGATGTCTTGGGTATCCAGCATAACCACAGCGAAATTACAGTTGTGAAGTGGCAACGAAAATGTTTTTATGGCCGGGGTCGGGGGTCACCACAGCATGAGGAACCGTATCAAAGGGTCTCAGCATCACCAGGAAGGTTCGAGACCCATGGATCTAAACGAGCACAACCCCTCCTGCCCAGTTTCACTCTGCTTCTCTGCCACTGCTAACCACTCAGGTAGCCAAAATGATTTTCCTGGTACAAATCCCACATGACTGAACCTGCTTAAAATGTTTCCACAGACTTCCAGTGTTCCCTAGTTCCTTAGGAAACACGTAATCTGAAACTGCCGGCTTCCCAAATGCACCTCTACTCCCTGAGGGTCCTCTGCCTTTCCGGGGCTGTTCCCTTCGCCTCCAGTGCTCCTCCCCAATCTTCTTCCGTGGTCTAACATCCACCTTTCATTCATCATTACACCAAACTGTCTCAGGTCACAGATCAGGGAAAACAAAACGTTGCTCCAAAACTTTTTATTTCCCTCACACAAAGGACGGTACGCTTCAGACTGCTACGACTTAGGCACAACGCAATCATCCTGACAGCTGTTTTGCTTTTAGAAAGATGCTTCTCATTGTAAGACAGTGATTCATCATTGTCTGTGTCAGAGAAACTGCACCTAAGAGGGTAGCGACGATTTTGGAATTTCGGTTTTCTTAAAAAAAACACAGAAAATATTACAAGTGTTTTTTTGTCTTAATCCCAGGCGTGGGGATGTGGGGCGGCTTCGGGCTGTCTGCAGCAGCTGACTATGATACTAGCAGAGGCATGGTCCTACCAGCTGCAGGTAGTTTCTGCTCTATGAGCTTGTGTGACATGTGGAATTCTGGGAACTTTTCAGAGGACACACAAATGCTAGGGCCTCGGGAGGTGGTGCTTGGTGTTTTTTTGGTCGTTCAGGGGGGGGGTTGATTGCAGATCACTAGTGGTTGTGCTCAAAGAAGAAACAAAAGGCAAGATCTCTCTCCCCTCCCCCCATCTTTCTTTCCTCTGTAGAAACAGGGGGTGAAGGGAGGGGGGAATAAAGGGTGGAAAAAGAAGAGCCCACAAAGTAGCAAAGACTGGCTATATAAGAAACGCCCAGAGAGCTACAGAGATGGGTGGGCGGTTAAAAGTGCTTTCTGCAGAGGTTCGGTTCCTAGCACCCTCGTCAAGTGAATTCTCACAAGGACCTGTGAGTCCTCTCCTAGGGTAATCACTGCTAGGGTAGTCAGTGCCCTCTTCCGGCCTCCAAGGCCTAGCAGTGCCTTGGAGTCAAGATGCAGGCATGCGCGCTGGAACACTTAAGCCTTTAAAAAGACATCCAGGCTCCAATCCTTTCTCTTTCTCTTCCCCACCCATGTCCCCAACCCCCCTACGCGCTCTCGCGCTCTCGCTCTCTCTCTCTCTCTCTCTCTCTCTCTCTCTCTCTCTCTCTCACAGCCCTGATAGGGTACCACAGGAGAAGCTGTTCTGAAAGGCTTGATACCCTCCCAGGTATGCTTCATCCTGACTTCCTGCCCCCCCCCCCCCAAGCTGTCACAGGCCCACCAAACAATCTAGCAAGAACTGAAGTTCCAGAAAGAGGCAACAACTTGCTGGAGGCTGTAAAGCAATTTCGTGGGGGTGGCAGTCAGGCCCTAGGGGCCTTAGGCTGGACATCTTGAGATTCCCAGGCCAACCAACCTCCTGCATTTCTGGTCTGTGATCCTCTGGCCCAAATGCCACACATAATTAGAAGTTATAATCCTGTAATTCCATGATGACATCTTTCAACTTAACTATACTTTAAAACTTTTTTTTTTAATGCCAAAAGGAACTTTAAAAATTGCCCACTGTCCCCCCCTTGTCTCCAGATTCCCCTCCTGTTCAACTACTTAACGAGTGAGCAAAAACTCTTTAAGAAGGCAGTGTCCCGCGGGAGAAGGAAGCTGCCAAGCCCATTTACCGAAGTAGCATTGAACAATTAAGAATTGATTGCTCTGTGGGAAGCAGTTTCACTTCCCTATTCATGATCACTCGCTGTGCCCTCGATCGTATCAGTTAGAAAAATATCCACGACGATCTCTCAATCCACCAGGTGATTCTTGGCCAAACTCCAAAGGCTATTTTTAGACTCACTAGGGACCCGAAAGGAAGGTGAGGAGCCTGTCACCGTGATTCGCACCTCCAAAGCGTCTTTGTAAGCCAGTCCCAGCGCCGCTGTGGGCGCCTGCTGGGGTCGCTTTTGAGGAACTGAGCTCCAGGGCGAAAGGCAATCGGGTAAGTTGCCGAGGAGCGCCAGGACATGCCAAACTCGGAGAGCCCAGTCTCGCCCCCTCGGTCTCTCGGACAACCAAGTACAGAAGGGGTGAGACTCCCGATTCTCTGGCTCTCTGGGGCGACGCGAGGACAAATGAGCAAGGCGCGCCCGAGGTTCCCCTCGCGGCAGTTACCCTCCCTTAAGCCTACCGGGAAGCCTTGGGAGGCGAAAGAGCAAAAACTCGCCCTCCGCCTGCACCATGGGGAAGCGCTCCGGTCGCAGCGCGAAGAGACCAAGCTCGCCAGCGTGGCCAGCGTGGCCAGCAGCAGGTCCTCTCCCCACCGGCGCGAGAAGGTTGGCAGGGCCACCCGGATCACCCCTCCAGGTTCCCACCTGCGCGCGCCCCGCCCGTGCACCTGCGCGCCCCGGCTCGGCTGCCATCTGCTCCGGGCGCCCAGCCCCGCGCCGTCCTTCCCCGCCGCGCGGCCCGCACCGTTCCCGCGCGCCCCCTTCCTTTCCCCTTCCCCCTCCCCCTCCGGTCCAGGCCGACCCCGGCCTCGAGCCCCATCAAGCGTGCTCCGCAGCTTGTGCGGACAGAGAGGGGACAGAGAGGGGGGGGTGTCTGCGGACTGGCCGCCCACCTTCCGAAAGTAGTCGTCTCGCTCTTTCTCCAGCGGCTGGGGGTTCGCGGGTAGCAGCGCGTCGGTCATGCTGGCAGCGAGGGAGCCGACGGTGAACTGAGGTGCAGCGGCTACCAGGAGCCCCAGAAGGAGCCCGGTCCCGCCCCGCGCCGCCCCGCCCCGCTGGCCGCCCCGCCGCGCTGCAGCCCCGCCCCAGCCCTAGAGCGCCAGATATCTGGAGTTCCGCCCCTCCCGGCAAGGCCCGGCCACGGGCGGATCCCGGGAACGCCGCTCCGCCACCTAAGCCCCGCCCTCAGCCTCGCCACGTGCCAATCCCGAGCCCTGGAGTTCTGGCCCCGGGCTTTTGCAGCCGTCCTGCGCCCTTGTAGTGAGGGTGAGCCACGCCCCATCTCGGCTAGGCCCCGCCCTCTCTCCGCCTTCCAGTCTTGCGGGAGGCCGAAACCCGTCTCTCTGGAGCCCCGCCCTCCGCAAGCCCCGCCCCCCGCACGCGTGGTCCGCCTCCTCCAGCCCCGCCCCCGCGCGCCTAGGCCACGCCCCGAGCATCCACGCCGGTGTTTGGAGCCTGCCGGCGCCGTGCTCTAGGAGGGCGCGCCGGCGCGCCGCTTGCCCGCCGAGCCTCCGATCTTAATCCGCGCGTGGTTAGCAGCTCTACCTTGTGAGTGCGAGAGGGGTTTCAGCGACCGTAGCGCAACCCAAACTGGCATTTGCCCCCTTTCTCTAAAGGAGCCCGGGGGAGTAGTGGCTGCAGAGAGCGCGCGGGTGATTCACGGTCGCTTTTCCACCCAGGGGACTCGGACGCGCGGGGAGAATCCAGGACCTGCTCCCATCGCTGTTCGGGAGCTTTGGGCTCTGACCGGGGAGGTCAGGAAAGCTGCTTGCAGGAGGGGAGACCGCCAAGCCAAGCGCTTGGGTCGGCCACAGCCGTAGTGGGTGGCGGAAGTCACCGAGAGACGGGGACTTTGAACACGGAAACTCTGCTGGAGTCCTGGGATGTTTCTTAGAGCCAGAATCCCCAGCCTCGGTTTTCTCAGTTCCAGAATGGCGCCCTGGCTGGTCAGGTACAGATTTAGCGGGCACAGGAGTTCCAGGGAGCTCCCTAGGCTCAGGGTTCGCGCTACCTCATACTGGAGGGTAGACAAGACTCTAGGGTCTGGATATTGGTGGCACAGGGGGCTACGATCCGGCTGCAGGAGCCTAGAGCTCCCAGCCCGAGGAGCCACTTCGCCCCTCACCGTCACCACCAAGGAACACCTCTGTCTGCTGCCTTTGGCGGTAGGTGGGTCAGGCAGGTAGGTAGGTGTCAGGTAAAGACGCCGTCAGCTTTCCAAACTAACCAGTCTTATTCCGTGCCCTTTAAAAAGTGTGTTAAGGGTGGCTGGAGAGCTGGGTCTGCGGATAGAGGGGCCTGCCGCTCAGCCCTGACAACATGGGCTCCATCCCCGGGTCGTTTTACAGTCAGTGCTTAAAATAAACAAACAACGGCGGCAGCTTAGCGTATGTTAATAAATAACAATTTTAAACCCGCCTAGCCAGGAGGAAAGGGCTAAGAAAGATCCTGTCAGAGGACGCCAAGGTGCTCACACCTGTGAGCTCAAGTGCCTTTCGGGAAGCCGAAACAGCAGTATTGTTGAGTTCGAGGCTAGCCTGATGTCTTAGTTCGCTTTGCATTGCTGACGGAAAGAACTTGACGGGCAGAGGGTGGGGGGAGGGGAGGGTTTATTTGATTTATACCTTACTGAGGGAAAGCGGTTCAGGAACTCAAGGCAGGAAATGAAGCAGAGGCTGTGAAAAAGCACAAATTACTGTCTTGCTCCCCACGTCTTGCACAGCCTGCTTTGTTGTTGTTTTTTTTTTTTTTAATTATTATTACTTTATGCTTATGATTATTTTCCTGCATGTATGCCTGTGTACCATACGTATGTGCTCATGGAGGTCACATACCCGTGCCAGATCCCCTGGAACTGTAGTTTCAGATGGCTTGAGCCACCCTGTGGGTGATGGGAATTGAACCTAGGACCTCTGGAAGAGCAGCCGGAGCTCTCTCAATCACTGAGCCACCTCTCAGGCGCGAAGCCTGCCTTTTTTTTTTTGTTTTGTTTTTAAATAGTGACATACTGTGTAGCCCAGGATAGCCTGGAGCCTCACTCAGGCTCCCAAGTGCTAGGATGACAGGTACCCACCGCCAAGCCTAGCTCGGATCGCCCTCACAGATTGTTACCCGTACAAACCAACTCATACTGATGTTGACTTAGTAGTCTTTTTAAAGATTTCTCTTTACCTGTATGTATGTGTGAGTGCCTGTGTGTGTGCTCGGTCCCCAGAACTGGGGTTACAGATGATTGTGAGCCACTCTTTCTGAGTGCTGGGAACCAAGTCTCCTCTGCAAGAGCAGCAAGTAGTGACCACTGATCCGTCCTTCTAGGCCCTTTATAGTCTTTCAGAGAGATACTTGGACCATCTTTGTTTGAGACAGGTTCTCATTCTATAGTTCAGGCTGTCCTGAAACTCCCTGTGTAAGGCCATGAGGCCTACTGTCTCAGCCTCCCAAGTGCTAGAATTACAGTCACAAGCCACCAGGACTGACTCAGTTTTTTGTTTTTTTTTTTTAAAGGCAACTACGTCATCCCCGTAAGAGGAAACCCAATTGTACTTTGCCCCATAAAGGGAGACTTGTAAAAAGTAAATGCAATAAAAACCAAGGTCTATTATTTAATCTTCTCTGACATCACCCTCCTCTCCTGCTGCCTCAGTTTGTTAAAGAAGAAGTATCTGGGGATGTAGCTCAGTGGTAGAATGTTTGCATACGTGAGGTGCCCTGTTTAACGCCTAGCATAAGACAGACAAAAAAGGAAAAAGAGAAGGAAGCTCGTCTTTAGAGACATACCAGCCCACCTAAAACGACCTCCACCCAGCATCCATCCCCACGACACAGGAGGCATCCAGACTTTAATCCTTAGGTGTACTAAGTACCTTCAGACAGCAAGTCATGACTCACTGCACGGCATCCCACATGTATCTCTCTCTCATAACCCTGATCTCATTGTGACCAGGAAATGAGACCTGTTACTGCTGACCCAATGGGGAAGCGACAGCAACCTTGTCCTAACTGGTATGAAACAAAGATTTGGCACTGAACTGTGTAAGGTGGGGCAGGTCTTCGGGGGACTGAAGCAAGAGTATCAAGAGTTCAAATCCCCTCTCAGGAGGGGAGGTAGAAGCAGGAGGATGAGAAGTTCAAGGTAAGAGTAGAGAGATGGCTCCATTCACAAGGGCCTGTTTTACATCCCTAGAACCCAAGTAAAAGCTGAAAATGGTGGAGCATGCTTGTAATCTCAGCACAGGGGAGGCAGAGACAGGAAGGTCCCTGGAGCTCACTGGTTAGCCAGCTTGGCCTAATCGGTGAGCCCCAGGACCTAGTAAGAAACCCTGTCTTAAAAACCAAAGTAGAAGCTGGTCAGTTGTGGTGCACGCCTTTAATCCCAGCACTCAGGAGGCAGAGGCAGAGGCAGGCAGATCTCTGTGAGTTCAAGGCCAGCCTGGTCTATATAGTGAGTTCCAGAACAGCCAAGGCTACACAGAGAAAGAATGTCTCAAAAAACCAAACCAAAACAAACAAAACAAAACCAAAGTGGGGACTAGAACTGTATTCATTTGGCAGAGGAATACATACTAGCACACAAGAGGTCTCATGTTCCATCCTCAGCTTCACATAAAACAGGGGACAGTAGTATATACCCGAAATCTTAACTCTTGGGAATTGGAAACCAGGGAATTCGAAGTACAAAGTCCTCCTTGGGTACACAGTGAGTTCAAGGCCAGTCCAGGCTTCATGAGATTCTGTCACAAAAACAAAACAAAAACTTACAAGGTGGACAGTGTTCCTGAAGAACACTTAAGCTTAGCCTCTGACCTGCACACACACACACACACACACTCTCATGTGTTCCTGTACCACACATATGTATACACTCACAAAAAAGAGAAATAAAATATTCTTGAATGTGCTATCTAAGAAGCTATCTAGTTCCCTAACAAGAAGCCTCCTAACAGACCATCTACAGTGGACTAATAGTTGGGTGAGGCACAGCAAGGTCACTTAATGGAAAACTGCAAACAGTAAAACCCACACCTTGCTTTTATGTAAAGAATCACAAGGGATCTCTCACCAGTCTCACCGGGCAAAGGAAGCCATACATAAAATACTATACAAGGGTTCAGCAGGTAAAGGCACCTGCCTCAAAGCCGGGCAACCTGAACTCAATTCCTGGAACCAAAGGGAAGTGTAGAGGAGAGAGTTGACTCCCTAAGCTTGGTTTGCATAAATTAAATAAACATTGAAAAGTTAAAGATCTACCATATGGTGCGGCGATCCCCTCCTGAGTTCAGAAGCAAAGGAAATAAACGTGGCTGGCACAGGCAGTGACAGAGAGGCTCTGGCTCCCCGGACGGAGATTAGAGAGATGAATGACAAGTTAAGAAGCAGGCAAGAAATTGTGAATGGACTGAGCATATTTTTGGAAGAAAATGGAGAAGAAGCCTCCTTAGAAGACTGGGAGAAACCAAAGCTCTGAGTGAAGATGGTTCCCATAAACCCACACAATAATGTAAGAACATCTCACAGAGCCTCTCTCAGGAGCATGTCTCATCAATGACAGAAGAAGAGTGATTTAATATGAGAACCAAGAAGTTTGGAATAAATACAAGTAAAGAATTCAGAAAACCACCAGGGGCTTCTTGCTTTGGACTGCCTCTGTCAAGTGGCAAAGAAAATACCAACATGGAAGAGAAGAGAAGGTGCCTGGAACGTTCCGGACTTCTGTGACCCACTTCTGCATCTTCTCCCTAGGTTTTATGTGTTCAAGTAAACAGAAGACCCAAATTAAATATTTCTTCTTCTTTTTATCTTTTTATTCTTCAATCGTAACATAAAATTAAAAAGGAAAGGAAGCGGGTGTCAGAGGCACTTGCCTGTGTTCGTTGCTGCACTGTTCAGCGCTGGGCAGGAAGTGGAAACGATGGACATTCCCATCGGTAGATTCATGGGTGAAAAGAAAATGTGGTGCAGATACACAAACGGATGCTATCCTGCCGTGAAAAGAATGAAATCGTGCCGCGTGCTG